AGGGAAAAATGTTTCCAGCCCCCAAAAGCCAAGTGAACGTGTTTCCCACCCCCAAGACTTGGTCAATAGGTGTTTTACCCCTAAAAATAAAGATTTTGTTCTCTGAGCCCCCAAAACACAAAACCCAAGACATTAAAACATGTGAAGACCATAATACCCTTCTCTCTCTCTTTCTTTTTTTATTAAAATATGATGGGGATTATTTTATTATTTTTGTTTTCTCTCTCTCTTTATCATGATGTACCAAGAGGATCTTTAGATAGGTAACCCTAACAATTAAACCCGTAACCTTAACAATTAAACCCGTAACCTTAACAATAAATCCGTAACCTACACAACAAATCCACAACCTTAACAACAAACCCTTAACCTTAACAACCAACCCGTAACCTTAACAATCAACCCGTAACTTTAACAACCTCCCAATACAAACAACCAAAATAATAAAAAACGAAAATAATAAAATAATCATCATCAATCATTTCAACTATCCTCTTGGTACATCATGATAAAGAGAGAGAGAAAACAAAAATAATAAAATAATCCCCATCATATTTTAATAAAAAAAGAAAGAGAGAGAGAGAGGATTCATAACCTTAACAACAAACCCTTAACCTTAACAACCAACCCGTAACCTTAACAATCAACCCGTAACTTTAACAACCTCCCAATACAAACAACCAAAATAATAAAAAACAAAAATAATAAAATAATCCTCATCAATCATTTCAACTATCCTCTTGGTACATCATGATAAAGAGAGAGAGAAAACAAAAATAATAAAATAATCTCCATCATATTTTAATAAAAAAAGAAAGAGAGAGAGAGAGGATTCATAACCTTAACAACAAACCCTTAACCTTAACAACCAACCCGTAACCTTAACAATCAACCCGTAACTTTAACAACCTCCCAATACAAACAACCAAAATAATAAAAAACGAAAATAATAAAATAATCCTCATCAATCATTTCAACTATCCTCTTGGTACATCATGATAAAGAGAGAGAGAAAACAAAAATAATAAAATAATCCCTATCATATTTTAATAAAAAAAGAAAGAGAGAGAGAAGGGTATTATGATCTTCACATGTTTTAATGTCTTGGGTTTTGTGTTTTGGGGGCTCAGAGAATAGATTCTTTATTTTTAGGGGTAAAACGCCCATTGACCAAGTCCTGGGGGTGGGAAGCATGGTCACTTGGCTTTTGGGGGCTGGAAGCATTTTTCCCTATATATATATATAGCACACTAGGAAGAGCCGGGTGGGCCAACTCCTGCTGTCTCCGCTCACGCGGTGAAATCACTTCACGCGGCGCGTAACAAAAGGTTCACACGTGGGTGGATCCCACGTGTTCACAATTTCTCAACTATAAAAGACATAACTTACTCAATAGTAGTAAAAGTGCGTACATGACATCAAGACATCAAACATAACCATTTTACATAAAAACTACAGCTAGCATATATCAAAAGCATATTACTATGCGCTCAACTATAACAATTTTATGCTAGCTCTTATTTGGAAACCTTGAGGGACTTTCCATTCGCCTAAGGTGGACAAAATAATTTTATTAAAATTGCATTTTTTTTTAGTACTGCTTTACTTGAGTTGAGTTCTGACTGCTGTCGATGTACGCATAAATCTAGTAATCGTTGTTGCCTGAGATGTGAACGTGGCTCTAAAGCCCTTTAGGATGATCCATACTACGTAGAGAGGGACAAGAAAAATCATGGAACCAAACTTTAAGCCAACAGAATGTTGTCTCAGCAAGGACATCATAATGTTGGAATATTTTCCCTAGGGATCACAAGGGGTGGGTTTTCTGGAGTCTGAACATTTCATTCATATTTTATGATTTGGGCCGAGACCCTGCCAAGTCCTAGCGAATCTGAGACTTGGGTTTGCCTTAATGCCAGGAAACTATGAAAATTCAGGTAAGAATTTTAAGGTAATTTCCTCATCCGAACCCATTGAATTGAAGAACGTTCTTGCGGTTCGAGAGACATTATCGGATCTCTACAACTGCAACAAACCCCGTATAGAGATTATGGTTCAAGACTGATGGTTTTAAAAGTTGGGATGTATTGTGTATACTCTTTTTTTGTGATGACTTGGTTGCTATTAGAAGATGACATCCACAACTTTGGAGTTTTGGTGTATTGGCGGGATCTTCTGTTA